TTACTGAATTTAAATATAACCAAACTTGATTTACAAAACCAAAAATAAAAGAAGAATAATGAGGGGAAAAAAAAAAAAATTTGTTTTCTTTTTTTGGTGTTGGGGTCCATAAATACCGACCCCAATCTTTGTGATGTGTATCATTAGAATATTCTCAACAAATTGCGAAGAAAAAATAGATACAATTTGGCATATGATTCCATTTGGTCAAGATGACCCACATAAAGTCAACATTAACATTTAAATTAATATAAAATTCTTCAAAACTTTGCAATAAAATAATAATAATAAAGAACTGTACCAAGATCTCATAGCTTATTCTTTTTTCTTTAAAATAAATATTTAATATTTCATTCATCCATGCACTTCAATATACTTTCAGAATAATATCATACAAATTCTCCATATATATATATATGTATATATTTGTATTCTCGAGAATATGACCTTCAACCTTCTATGATCAAATTTTATTTAAAAAATAATTATAATTTTTAGAAGAATCTCTAGATCAAGAGGACAGTAGAGAGTAGTATCCCTCTGCAATTAAAAATTAAAATAATTATTAAAAGAAATAAACAAAGTTATATAAATAAATAGATTTAAAGATATTAATGAAAATTATAAAACTCAATTATCTCTGGGAGGGATTTTTTATTTAATTTTATAATGGGACAAAATTAGAGTATATGGACTAAAAATGTATAGTAATTAAAAGAAACAATGGACTGAGAAATGGAAATATTTGTAAGTATGAAGGGAGGGACACAGCGTGGGGCAGCCAGAAATGGAATTTAAAAAGAAAAAAAAGAAAAAAAAAAAAAAAAAAAGGAATGAAAGCGAAGGAAGGCCTGAAAAAAAGAAAAATACAAAAACGTTTAATAAAGAAAGGTGGGGCCAGGCTCTCCTGGGGTGGGGTCCGCAAAAGCCTTATGGTGGACATCTGAAAACGAAAGATCATGATTGGTGTGATCCCACACGTGTCACACATCCATCCAGCCAACTTGAATTTGTGTGGGTCCCACTTTACGACGCGTGGCTATTCCTCTACTGGGTCCCATCTGTTAACCGAAAGTTCAAGTTTCATCGCTCGAACTTCCAAACATAGGATGGCGGTTAGTTTTTAGGGTTCAATTTTTTTTTTTTTTTTTTTTTTTTTTTTTTTAAAGAAAAGAAATTAAATTGAAAGGGATCATTTTTGTCCAGTAGTGTTTGGTTGCATGTCATAGTGTATCCCGGAATCGGAATAAAGTTGGTTCTATTTTTTCGAATTGGATGTGGACTAGACGGAGGAGGGAATTGGTCAAACATTGTTCGAAATTGTGGCTTTATCGGTGGTTTAATTCGATTAAGACATAATCTTTTTTCCACTCTTAACTGTTCCTTTTTGTTATTTTTGTATAAAGCTTTTTTAATTTTATTTTGTGTTATTATGTTGTGGACTACTCTTCGTTTATTATGGAACCGACATTGTTTTTGCTAATTCATTTAAGCTATGTTTGACCTTCATTTACTTGATTTTCGATTCCGTTTCCATACTACTAACATTTTATCTTATTTTAAGGCTTACGTTTTTCTTCGGTAATTCAATCATAGAAATTTTATCGTTAAATGTATTTTACTTGAAAAAATTTCACGTCGGATGACGTCTTCAGATATGAGGATAATTTTAACTCTCAAGAAGTAAGAAATACATAATCGTGCCCAGAAGATACAAGTTATCTATAATATAAATACAAAATTTGTAACATATTTTACTCTAAAATGTTCTTATTGAATCTTTTAATATAGTAAAAGATTTTAATTTTTTTGGTTTAAATCTTCACCTCTCTCATTTACTATATTAATTTTTTTTTCTATTAGAAATTTCTGTAGATTTTTTAAATGGATGAATGTATAAGATAGAAATTTGAAACGTATCAAAATTATTAATGTATAAATAAATTTTGATTTTCTTTGAAATAGTGGGTTTTTTACCTTATTTTTTTCCCATTAATTTAATTCTTTTTAAAGTTAATTAATAGAAAAAAAAAATCGTATTTTGATACGAATGATGAGTCAAATGAAAGCATAGTCATAATTTAAGGAACGAGGAGAAGAGAGAGCCACCAGTTCATCATGGGTGAATCACACGTGTATTGAAAGCCGTCACGGATTGACACGTGGAGCATTAACAAACTGTCTTCACTATTCGTATGCAAACGTGGCCTAACGCCATACATTTTTCTTTTCTTTTCTTCCTTTTTTTGTATTCCTCGTCATGTCATGCGGATCCTATCCACTCATAATTTTATGTATAAATGTAATTTAAATGGGTCATATTATTACACAAAATCCTCCGCTTAGCACCGAAGTCAAGTTTGTTCACGTAGGTTAGGTATTTGTCGGTTAATATTGTCTTCTTTTAATTTTTCATTTCCTTCTCTCAATAAAAAAAAAAAAATATATATATATATATTTGTTATCCTCTCTAATTAATTTATCCTTTCGAAGTCTAGCGTCCTCGCTAACACTCGTTTACTTCTCTAATCGATGTGAGATCTCACAATGATCTTCTACATACGATCTTAAATAATCACCATTTCATTCTCTTAGCTTAAGTGTTCTAATTTAAGTATACGTTAGACTTTCTTAGTGTCTTTAACGATACAAACAAACAACCTCCCAATCAATCTAGATATATACTTTGTTCAATGAATACCTAAAATTGTATGCAAATTATTAAATGCACATGCATGCCATTATCACATATAAATTTCTTGGGTTGTTTTTGTTTTATTCGTTTGAAATGGACGGTTTGATCTCTCGATCTCTCGATCTCGACATAGATGTTTGTTTAAAGCTCGAGAATGTTGATTGAAAATAAATTTATATTATAGGAGGGAAGAGTTATAAGAATCTCTTTTGGGCTGTCCCTCTCCTTACGGTCTGCAAACCTCTCCTTTTCTGTGAATCTGAAGAAAGAAGAAAAAATGAAAGAAAAGAAATAAAGATCGAGGAAGGTGGTTTGGAGGGGGCTAGATACAGAGAATAGAATGAAGCTTTTTAAGAGGTCGACTTGTCGTTTCATCTTTTCATGTTTTAACCACATGCACTTTGCTTCCTCTGCTTTATCTTCTTTCCTCTAAGGATGGTCTATGCTCATAATAATATGAGACCATATAAAGCCAACCTTCCTACCACAACACAAAGTACTTCGCTTCGCACATGGCTGCTTCAACAACTTTTGCAATTCTCGTTTTTGGCTTTTATATAAACGACGTATCGCTGTCAGCCTTCTCCTATGTTTTGTTCTCCCTTCTCCCAACTAATGTGTGGAATCTAACTGCTCGATGTGTAGCTCGGATATCATTTGTAACAGCTCAAGGTGATCTCATGGCTTTAAATTATTGGAACGGAATTGAAATTTGTGGTTGGTAAAGCATCTTTGTTGGATTTTGTTAAAATCAGTTGAGGTGATCTCGGTGGGGACATATACCCTATGATCATGTAAGATTTACATGGGGACAATAGGAGTAAGTTTGAGTTTGGTTTAATGAGAGAAAACCAAGTGTTTTAAGTTGAAGTTACACAAAAAAAAGGAGTTATTCATTAAAGTAAATTAAAAAAACGAAGATAAGTGCATATAAGAATTTTTCTTTATATTATACATAGAATGCGAGGGGTTGTGTAAAGGAAACAAGAGAGAGGAAAAGGTAAAGGAAAAGGAAAAGAGGAAAGGGAAAAGGGGCTTAAAACTTAAGCAAAATGGGCAGCTTGTTTTGGAGAGGAAGTTCCTAGGGGCGTTGTGTTTGTAATGTGTTGGGCACTGGGTACACAATCCAATTTGCTTAATGAGGAATGCGTTGAATTTGAATATGCCTTCAAATGTGTACCAAAGGCCATAAACTCTCTCCCTCCCCAACTTAAATAGGAAATATACCTCCAACAAACCATGCCTCCAAAACCATCAACCCAAATACCATATTTATAGCCTTAAAATATACATATTTTCCCCTAACTCACATTCCAACGCTCTTACCTGCTTAACATATGTATAACCCTAACAATTATGACATCTACTAGGTTCAAATCTTTGTGTCCACCCGTGTTATGCTACAAAAAATTATGCTTTTCGATGTGCTCATTTGTTTGCTTGCAGATACTCAATTATGAACCACCTTTGCAGATTTGAAAGAAATAGTTTATGTCAATTTTTTATCACTAAATTATACTCACATCGACACTTTGTGTAACAGCTTAAGCCTACCACTAGTAAATATTGTCTATTTTGGCATGTTATGTATTGTCGTCAGTCTCATGATTTTAAAACGTATCTACTATGGAGAAGGTCTAGCAAATATTGTGGCAGACTAAGCTCATCCCTAGCAAATGTTGTTCTTTTTGGATTTTTTCTTCTGCACGTTTTTTCTCCAACCGATGTGGGTCCACCCCCTTCGAGTCGAGCGTTATCGTTGGTACTCATTCCTCTGTCCACGTCGACGTGGGATCTCACACTTTAACTTATACAATTTTTTTAAATAATTGCAAGTATATTCTTGTAGTACGTTTTTTTTTTCTTTCTTCAATAATATTGTTTGATCCCACAGATTAAAGGGTTAATAAATTAAAATATATATTTTTTAATTTTAATTTCGAAGGGAGAAATCAAATATTTAATTTCTTAATTTTCAAAATAATAGAGAGGAAAAATGAATTAGTCCTTCTCGGCGAATATCCACGCGGCAAGAATTGTACAGTGAGTTGACTGTGACCATGGAATGTCGGCCACGTGGATTGAACTGTTAATTTGAGCCAGTGGGACGGGGAGGGGGGAGGGGGGAGGAGGAGGAGGAGGGGGAGGAGGTGCTGTTACGGTGACGGCTTAAGACGGCGGATTAGGGTGGTGGGCCCCACAAAATGTGGACCCCATCAGTTAAGTTATGGTGGCTTATGGGTTCTCTTGGCTATCTCCTCCACTACCCCCCATCCCACTCCTCTGCCACTATAAATCTACCCTTCACCTCCCTCTCTCTCCCCACCATAACTCTCTCTGTTCTTCTTCCTCTGTTTTTCCTTCTCCCAAAATTCCCCCTTTCCTAATTTCCTCCGACTTGGGTCTCTCAAGCTTTCAATCTTTCCGCAAAAGATTTCCGTTTTTTGTGTTCTTGAAGCTCCCAATTTGGAAAAACCACAAATATTTTAATTCAAACAAGAAAAAACAGAGTCGTTGTTCTTGTAATTCCGATGACGAACCAGAATGTAGTAGTTTCCGATTCCAAATCCGGCATCAACATGTCCATCACCGTCGCCGTCTCCAACTCCTCCATTTTCGCCACCACTGCTCAGAAACCGCCACCAGCTCCCGGCGGCTACATCTCCATTTCCCGTAAAAAAATCCTCAAGGACCTTGATGTTAATGGCGGTTGGATTGAATCAATGAGAGCTTCTTCTCCAACCCATGTTAAATCTCTTCCCCCCGCCACGGCCGCCGCCGAAGACGGTGCCGACGACCACCATAACTCTTGGATTGTGAGAGCCCTTCCTATATCCTGTTGTTTTTTTTTACACTGGGTAATTTCTCGAAACAGAATTTTAATTTTTTGGGTGTTAATGGAACAGCTTCATCATCCTTCCGCCCTGGATATGTTCGATCTGATTATTCAATCTTCGAAAGGGAAACAAATTGTGATGTTTTTGGATTACGATGGAACTCTTTCTCCGATTGTTGCGGACCCCGACAAGGCTTTCATGTCGGAAGCTGTAAGTACTGTGTCGAATTCATCATTAATTTCTGTTTTCCCTTTTTATTGGGTTTCTCTCTGTTCTTGCTCACCGATTTCGCTTTTGGGCAATTTGGATTCAGATGAGGAAGACAGTGAAAAAGCTTGCCAGATGCTTTCCGACCGCCATCGTCAGTGGCAGATGCAGAGACAAGGTACCTTTTCGCTACATTCAATTTACTCCAACTCATCCTTCTTTTTCCCATCCAAAAAACTCACCTTTTTGGTCTCATCTCCGCTGCCCGCGACGGAATTGTAGGTGTACGGATTCATTAGACTGGGGGAGCTTTACTACGCCGGCAGCCATGGCATGGACATTAAAGGCCCAACTAAAACCTCCAAACTCAAGAAAGCTGTAAGCCACCCCAAACTCAAAAAAGATCAAATTTTTTTCAACTTTTAAATTTCGTAATGATTAAACTGAATAATTTAATTAATATTGATGAATCCGAGGTGGTCCTTTTTCAGGTTAATCAAGGCCTTCTGTTCCAACCTGCGAGCGAGTTTCTCCCGATGATTGACGACGTGGGTTTTCTTAATTCTTCCGAAATAAGTTGTGGTTGAAGAAGACAAGGATTTAAGGAACAGAATTTTAATGAAAATTATGAATTTGTTTCTGTTAGGTTTATGAACAGCTGGTAGAGAAAATGAAATCAACTCCAGGGGCCAAAGTGGAGAACAACAAGTTCTGTATCTCAGTGCATTTTCGCTGTGTTGATGAAAAGGTAAAGAGAACAGAAAGATGTCCATGTTATTATTACATCACAATAATTAGTGTCATTATTATTATAATTATTTTTTCTTATTATTCTCGAATTTTTTGAAATTTACAGGAATGGAATAATTTGGCCCATGAAGTTAAATCAGTGGTTAAAGAATACCCAAAGCTCCGACTAACCCAAGGAAGAAAGGTCCTTATTCTCCCTCCTCTCTTCCCATCTACAAAGCTTTAAAATATAATACCACACAAAAAACTTAATACAACTTCTTTCTTCTTCTGATTTACAGGTTCTAGAAATCCGTCCTACCATCAAGTGGGACAAAGGGAAGGCCCTCGAGTTTTTGTTAGAGTCGCTAGGTTTGTTTTTCTTTCGAGAAATTATTCAACACGGCTGCTATACTCGATCTCGTGGTTGATGAAATGTAAAATTTTGAATTCAGGGTATGCAAACTGTTCTGACGTGTTTCCTATTTATATTGGAGATGACCGTACAGACGAAGATGCATTTAAGGTATTGTGTCTATTACGCGTGTTTGTGTTAAGGATGTAAAGTTGGGTTTTATTAATCTCTTTCATTATAATCTATAGGTTCTAAGGGAAAGAGAGCAGGGGTTCGGAATTCTTGTATCGAAAATTCCTAAAGACACCCACGCTTCGTATTCTTTGCAAGAACCTTCCGAGGCAAGTTTCACGAGATAACATGGTGAATCCTTTATTATTGGTATCATTTTTGTGATGGGTTTTGAAATGTTGATTACAGGTTATGCACTTTTTGCAACGTTTGGTGCAATGGAAGCGACCATCTTTATTAAGAAGACATTGCAGGGTTTGAGAAGTAGAGAGAGAAAGAGTGGGAATTCAGTACATGTTGTAATTTCCTTTTTCTCTAGGGGTTAGTAGTTAAAAAGAAAAAAGTAGAAGGGTCAATGGGAAAACAAAAATTGTAACTTTTTCCTTCACCTCGGTTCCCTTCTACTTACACATATCTGTAAACTAACTGTGTTTTAAGACCACAAATAGTATGGTAACTTACCCATCTTTATCTCTCAACTTTGTGTTCTTACTTTCATTATATAATCATATAAAAAAATTGGTAACGTAAAGCGATAATATGAGGGTGAAGGATTCGAATTTCTGACTTCACGATTTGATCATTTTTTCATGAATTATAGATAGTGGGATAGTTCAAATGTGTTTAAATATTATTGGATTAAACGTTTTAACTTGGTTTAAGGTGTTTTAAAGTTTTTTGTTTTTAACTTTTTATAGTTTTTTTGATATAGGAGCCAAATGCCATGAGATCTTTAATAATATCCTTATTTGGTTAAAACACATTTAACATTAACCGTTCCAAACTAGTTCAAACAAACAAACTTGTATAACAAACATATATAGACTAGATAAACTCTGACATCTTAATCTTGAACTACACAAATTTAACCCAAGGGTCGAGACGGAAGTACCAACTCAATACTTTGAGAAGAATACAATATCAGCTTTTTGTTGATGAAACTCTCTCCTTCTGTTTAATGGCGAGAATGTTGTGCAAGTTAACATAGAATTCATTAATGGAAGGCGATGGACGTGTAAAAAAAAAAAAAAAAAAAAAAGGAGACGACGGTGTGATGGTAAGTGATGGCCTTCAATACTTACTTTTCCATTCTCAGGCTGCCCCGGAGAAAAGAAGAAGCACTTTTGCAGAGACCATTATATGGTTCTTCCCCTTTTTGTGTACCAAACCAAAATACACTTTACTTTTTTGGTACAATTCTCATGTGGTTTCTTTTAGAATGTTGATATCATGAGGAACTACTAGAGTTTTGCGTTGGGTATAATTTTGGATCACCACCTTTAGTTATGTTCATTGTAACTATGGCTTTAATAATGGTTTAGATTTTGGATCACCACCTTTTAGTTATGTTCATTGCCACTATGGCTTTAATAATGGTTTAGATTAGAGTTTGTAAATTAAAAAGTTGATGGGTAGGAATAAACTTTAATAATCGTCAACCTCATTAAGGGGTGGCCTAATTATGGAGGCATAACCAGGCACTAGAACCAATAGAATCAATATGAAATTCCATGATTTATGGAGAAATTCTTGAATGATACAACCTTGATTTTAGTGATTGGTAATACACACTTTACAAGTAGTTCATTTTCGAGAATCTTGTACCAAAGGATTATTCTTAATTAATTGCTTTTTTGTTTTGGTTTTGGTGGGTGATATTATATTGCCAAAACATCTACTACGTTTCATTACATACGAACAAAGACACGATAATATACTTAATTACCATCATCTTAGATAAGAAATCTAAAAAATTATATTTTTATTTGAGTTTGTATTGACTAAACAAATTCATACTTCATATAATATTGAAGGCAACAAATCTTAAATGTTAAGAACGAGTATTCCTTTTTGTTTATACATGACAACTTGCATATGTCATGTTTCACTAGCTATCATTTCGATTGTACTCTACAAGTATTTGTAACCCTAAGGGGTTAAAGATAAAAAGAGAGTGACACCATAAAAAGATGCTAGGAAGTATAGGAAATAACTTATATGCTATGTACCAAATAATTGGGGCCATCATCCTCTCAACCGAAAAACTTGTACTCATACTATAGTGAAAAGCGACATAATTACTCACTAGCATTGACCTAGTTTGCATTAGAATAATTGACAAAAAAAGTGATCGAACTTCAAGAAAAGCTATATTAAATTTCATGGTGGGCACTAGCACACGGTATTAAAGATTTTTTTTATCATCTAAATATCATTATCATATGGGAAGAAATGTTATTTGGGGATGTAAACATAATTTTAAAAGATTCGAACTTGTGTCATGTTGTCGAAATGATATATATTTTTAATGAATTAAGAAACGTTTTAATTGACGAAAATCGACACGTAAGATGTTGATGAAGGAGATACAGAGAGTTTGTACTATTGTTTGTGGCATTGGTAAAATACAGAGAATAAGAGGGGGATGCATGGGTTTTGGTAAGAGAAATAATGGAGGGTGAAGGGCGTCGTGAGTGGTCAAAGGGCATTGATTATTAGTGAATGGGTTAGAGAGAGAGAGAGAGGGAGGGAGGCAGCAGTTGAAAGGCAGTGGTGCTTTTCAATTTTCACGCACTCCAATGGACCAATTATTGGTGCCAACAAAGTGAAGGCTAAGCCTTTAGCTGAGCTTTAATTCATAAAAAACCATTCTTTTCCACATCAATGCAACCCCTACATGTCATACTCCTCTCTCTCCCTCTCTCTCTCAAACCCATACCCATTGCTTTGCAACTCAAAGAGAGACCCCTTTTTCTTTCTCTGGCCCCTCCCATCTCATGCACACTCACATATCCATCGTAAAGATGTGAAAAATCAGATAATATATTCGTTGATAATGGACTTAAGTTGTTACCAGCAATACTGGAAGGTAAGGTATTTGAAACCCTAATCGGAGTGTCATCAACCAATGAGATTTGAATACATGTTCACCCAACAAAGGGATTAATTAATATTTTGAGAGTACTAAGACAGATATATTGTATACATAAATGTTAGCGGAAAGAAATAAATATTTTCTTTTTAAAAAAATTCCAGAGTAATTGGATGGATATGGAGCAGCAGCGTCCTGTTTTGTGGACAGCTGTGGAGGAGGAACCCCTGAGGCTATTTAATTAACACTTTTGTGGACAGTGTTTATTTCTTAATTAAAGGCTTTTAAATTTAATATTCCCATTTGCTTTTATTTTATTTCAAATTATTTGTACGTATGGAATAAACTAATTCAGCAGGATCTGCAAATCTACTCCAAGTACATCAATATTAATATAATAATTCTTTTGTTTAATTAACTATGCCTTCGAACTAGTTTGGCAGTTGGTTTAAATATAGGTTTTTATTTCTGTAATATCACCTTTTTTATAAAAATATAATATGAATTTTAGTCCATTAATTATTACCCTAACTCTGCTTGATCTGCTTGATGCCTTACTAAGTTGAATAAACAAGAATTTTAAAATTCAAATTCGAGATTCCAAATTGAGGTTCCAACCTGTGTCTATGATAACAAATTATCCACAAAACACGCTTAACTATAAAGTTCGTATGATTTAGTCTTTTATTGTCAGGATTATTCTCATTTGAATATGGTCTCAAATTCATAAGCACTCTCTATTTCTATAATAAGACTATTTGCAAGAGTTTATTTAAAACTATAGGACTAACCGATAAAATATATATATATATATGAGATCATAAACCAACAAAAGGTTATGAAGTTAAACGAAATCTAAGCCTAAAAAAAATATAAATTATGGTATGGTTGGGGGAAAGCATATGCATTGCTACCTTTGTTTGAAACTAAAGATGTGCAGACACCCTTTTGCGCAGACAAACAGAAACAGAAGATGGGGAATAACATAATAATCAATCAATACTTGTTTTAAAGCTTTTGTTTTGGAGATACCCAAATTCAAGTTCTTGAAAAATCCGAAATCAGTAGGCCATCCATCCATCCAGCTTTCAAGAACAACAACAATAATAATAAATTAAAAAGAAAGAAAAAGAAAAAGAAATTATTTAAATGTTTTTATAAGACAACTTTTGACTAGATATTTCTTTTATTCTCCCAACAAAAGCTGTTGTTTCATTTGTTGTAGAAACAACAAACATGTTCACAACACCATGGGAGGAGAAAAGAGATACTAAAACACCTCATCTAATATGATCCCCACATGCAATGGAATGCAACAATGCTACTTTTAATGTATTATTTTTTTATATGAATGTACCAATAATTTAAGGTGACGTTTCAACATCAACATTAACGGGTCATTAGATTTAAGATAATATCGATAAAAATGTTCCATTTGATACGCGGGATATGAAGATTAAGATTAAGAGAGGAAGGGAAGGGAATTGAATATTATGGGGTTTGTTTGTGAGTTGGTAAGGAGAGTTGAGGGGAAAATAATGAGGTTTTGAATATTTTGTATGGTTTGGTGAAAGGGAAAGGCACCATGGAAGAAGGGAATCTATGGTTGAATGAGGAGTTGGAATCCACTTAAAAGGAGGGAGTTTTTTTTGTTGTTGTCTTCTTTTAATTAAAGCATTAAGTTATACACAAATAATAATAATAATGGGAAGGGGAAGGGGAAGGAAAAAGAAGACATGGACATTGAAATGGAGACACAAACATGGATCCAAAGCATATTTAAAAAAACATCGTCCTTGTGGAAAGATGGAGTCCACTTGATTCAAACCCATCATTGATCCACAAATTTAACCCTAAAATCACTCTCTAAATTGGTCAATTATTGGAGTTTGTGAACATGGGAGAGACAATTGTGATGCTTTTTTTGTTCTTTCTTTCTCTCTCTCTCTTTATCTCTATGGTCAATGGCTAACCCAACTCTCATTTCTCATCACCCAATTCTTTGGCGCACTCTATTTAGGCCACCAAGCAAAGTATTATAAACCTATGTCTTAGATGTGAATATCGTACACATTGAAGGCCCCCACTTAAATTTCTAATTCTATTAACATCTTTCCTTTAGAAAAAAAATCAATCATATCCTTATCTCACACCCAAGTTGAATAGGATAAGCTTACAAGTATGGAATTGTTTGAAGCCCTTATGCCTCTATTTTCGTGTTATTGTTGGTGTATGATTTTGGAATCAACTTTGTGATACATATTTTCTGTTTTTTTTTTTTTTTTTTTTGATTATGATTGTCATGTTAATATCATGCCAACATCATGATATACGTGCATGAATGAATACCATGAATATGTTTGTACGCTTTGTAAGAAATTTACATTATGGTAAGTATGAAAGTTTTATGTACCTTAACTAATTGAACCCTGATTTTAATATGGGAACTCATGCATGTTGTATGTTATATGATCATTGATTACTTTTCTAACATGTTAAGTACGAATGTTAACAAGCCCATTTTGTGAGTTCCTACACCTTTGAATGAACCTTGTATAAAGGAAAAGTATGCCTCCAATTTACTCGAAAAAAAATAAAGTAGAACCC